AAGTCTCTAAATTTTGATATCTAGTTTTGCTTTAACTACAACAAAAGCTTATACCTCAGAAATTTTGCAATTTGAATCTAGTAGGAAAAGTATTATGAAATGTACGAATAAGAACGAAAGTTGTAAGGCTGTATTTTATTAGTGTAGGCATAAACAAAATCTATTTCTTATTAGATTACGTTTCTCATATTTCCCATTTCTATGAGCAACTACTATAGTTGCAGAACCACAAAAGACATCAAAGGGTAACTAAACATCATTTAAATTGTACAATGACATCAAGCTATGGAATTTTAATGAGCAAAGATATAACTGTGCGTCTGTGCCCCTTAAATGAAATTAAGGAACACGTGAGAAGGACAGGAAATGAGGGTTGACCGGTTTTAGAAGGGAAGGGTCTAACAAATTACCTGCAAGCATAAGATGCCTGCATTGTAAAATTTAATTGCATTGCATATAAGCTCTTTCCGGAAACTCCAATCCATGAATTTGGAAGGCACTCTATGATACAAATCTGGATGCTTCGATGCATTTTCCACTCCTAGTATATTATATGAAGCAACCATAATCTTATCTGAAATAAAGGCAATATATTGTTAGGTATGCAAAGGTAAAAACGGCAAAGTACGCAATGGCAATACCCGCACAAATGGAAATACCACTTACTGCCATCCTATGTTCATTATTGTTATTTTTCTCCCTTTTCCTTCAGGTCTTTAACGGGAAATGGGGTGCGAAGAATGTTACTATCAAGTGCCTTTTGAAAGTCCTCCAAAAGAAAGGGGGAAAAAAACTAACCATCTTGATGGTGAGAAGGTTTCTGGATTTCAAGGCCTGTCAACTAAGGAAAGGAACCAGAATCTAAACTCCAAACTAATTCCAAGTTTCTCTAGGGTAATAAAAAAAAACATTGGCCTAGGTTAAGTAGCAGCTCTCAAAATATTTACCAAGACCGCAGGACATCAAAAGCAGATAGCATTTGGAATGCCCTAATTCTTCCTATTAATGTATTCGAATCTCATGAGCCGGATAAAGGTAAGACTCAAGGCATGAAACTATCCCAAAAATTAAGCATGGGAGGATAAATTGGCTTCAACAATGAGCATAGAACATGAGGTCCTCTAACTATATTCCTGTACAACATTCTGGCATAATAGTTATCGTCAAGCAAGAGCCCCATAAGTGGAAGAAACACCAGTCAATTAATTCTAGATTAAACAATAACACCTTCGAAAAATTCTCACAGAACTGATTAGAATCCATCATTACCTATAAATCTTGAGCAATCACGAGTAGAGTACACCCATCGACGATGACCATCCGACTCACTCGACCTCCTCTTCTCGTACTTTCGTGAAGTTCGAGGGGGAGAACGAACTGGCTTGGACCTTTTCGATGAAGGAAGCTTCTGAGGCTCGCTGGATGTTGGAATTGTGGTTTCTGAACTGAATGCAAATCTCCGCCTCTTCTTCCGGCTATCGTTGTTACCGCAGAGTGCCGTGTTCGCCGAGCGTTCGCGCCGATTCTTCCCTGCTTTGGCGCGAACGTCCATGAGAGACTGTTCGTCCAGCCTTTCTTCGATCATTATCCAACGTCACACGGCGATCGTAGTTAGCCTTTGCCCTCGGCTCTGCCTCAGATACACAAACTTTCAAAATTAATTTAAGGTTAAATTACCATTTTAGTCAGCCAACTTTACCCTCCTTTAAAACCAAGAAAGCTAAATATATATATGCATTAAATTTTCTTTACTTCGTTTGAAACGAGAAAAATTTAATAATACAAGTTTTGTAACTCTAAATTTATTACTGATTTATAAGCTAAGAGATTAGTTACACTAGGACTAGAAGAAAAAGAAAAGACGTTGAACGGACTACTGGAGTCTCTTTACGCTGGTCGTGAGCATGTCAAGATCACTACGGCTCTATACGATTGAAAAAGTATGACTGTGACACCTGAAGCTTAATTGAGCCTAAAACATGGATGGTTGGGTTTGGACAACAGTGGGGCGGTTTGGCTTAAGGCCTAGTCAACCATCAATTGATCAAAGTCATATGCTACCTCTTGAACTTTTTTTTAACTTTTTGGTGCATTCAATTGGGTTAAATTTCTTAACTAATATCATTGAGATTCAAATCTCCACTCAGACGAGTTCCTTTCGAAAAACATTCTTGGGTGAACGACAAGAACGAAACTTACACATTAGCCAGAGGGACGAGAGTTGTAAGTTCGAAAACACATTTGATGGCTGAAAATGATTCGGTAATAGCCACAAGGAGGAATGTATGGAGTGAGAAGCAGGCATTTTTGAGGAGAGAAGAAAAAAAAGAAGCAGCACCACAAGAGCTCCCTGAAAGCGCAACAAAACGGGGACCATAATTCACCACACCAACAGGGCCGGCTCAATTATTGATCGCCTCGGTATAAAGACAAGCCATAATTGAGAGAGATTTGTGAAGTTAGTTGGCAGTGCATGGAATCCCCTGCAATGGACACCCCACCAATGAGATTTCAGGGAATAGGATGGCGTTGAAAACTCCAGCCAATCAACGCCCACAGACACCAATTTTGTAGGCCCCAAAAAGCGCAACATCCCCTCGTGACCCTCAGCCCCCACTTCCAAGTTAAAAGCTTTAGTCGATTGTCTACGCCAGTAATTGACAAACCCCACTTGGGCTATGCTGCGAAGCGAGAGGAAGGCAGCGGCGGAGGCTGCGGCGACGATGATGGGAGGGAGGACGGCGCGTGTATGCGATGCTTGTTTATGCAAAAGGGCGCATTGGTTTTGTGCGGCGGACGATGCTTTCCTTTGTCAAGCTTGCGATGTGTCGGTCCATTCAGCTAATCAGCTTGCGAGAAGACACGACCGAATTCGGTTGGAAACGGCGTCGTTGAAGTCCACTCATCAAGGTCAAGCTCAATCTCAACCTCATCTCCCTCCATGGCTTAAGGGCTTTACTCGTAAGGCAAGAACTCCACGACCCAACAAACAAATTTCATCAACAAAAGCTTCCGTTTTTTCTCTTGTTCCTGAGATTAGCAATGATGAAGGGTTCTCAATCGACGACAACGAAGACGAACACCGCCAATTTCATCATCATCATCAACAAGTTCCCGTGTTTGATCCATTATTTGACAACGAAAAATTCTCGCTAACCCACGAATTGGACGATTTTGGAGATGGGTTTTTACCGTCGGAGGTCGATCTTGCGGAATTCGTAGCGGATGTAGAGAGTTTGTTAGTAAGACAAGAACAAGAACAAGAACAAGAACAAGAACAAGAAGAACAATACGATCGAACTACAATAGTTAAGGTCAAAGATGAAGAAGAAGAAGAAGAATTAGTACAAGATTGGAATTTTAAAGGGGAGGAAATTGAAGAGGAAGAGATCAACAAGGTGGAGGATGAAGTGAAAGTGTTTGAGCAAGAACTAAAAGTGAAGAAGAAGATCAAGAAGAAGAACATATTCTTGAGGCTAAATTACGATGCGATTATCACCGCTTGGGACACTCGATCTTCTCCGTATACTACAGGAGATCGGCCTGAATTCGACCTCGATGATTGTTGGGTATAAATTTTTCAACTTTTCTTCTTCAAAATTCATTCAAATACACGAAAACAAAAACGTTTCATAACCCTGTTCGATCCATGCGATCGAGTTTAGGTAACTTTTCGTTCAACCCATAAATTTATAGCAATTGGGTGTACTCAATAACCCTAAATTTGATGAGTGCAGGAGGAGGAATGGGGTGTACATGAGAATGGAGAGAAAGGAGGATGGAGAAACGACGGGGAAAGGGAGGCAAGAGTGTCGAGGTACAGAGAGAAGCGAAGAACACGGCTGTTTTCGAAGAAAATAAGGTACCAAGTGAGGAAGCTCAACGCTGAGAAGAGACCAAGAATGAAAGGTCGGTTTGTCAAGAGAACACCAACACCATCGTGTTAATCTTTTTTGCGGTCTCCATCTGTGGAAGCTTCTTTGCTTTGGTTCCTGCAAATTTTTTGGAAGCTTTGGGTTTTAGGGTATAAGCATGATTGTAACATAATACCACTTTGAAGAAGCTCAGCCATGGAACGAACTTGTTTAGATTACAACTTCCTTTCTCTCTCTTTCTACAACAAGTGAGGGAGTGACAATATTAAGGACCTCCTTTTGTATTTTTATTAATAAACAAAACAAAATTCTTATTTCTTTTTTCATTCTAAGATATAAACATATGAGCCTCCACACTCTCTAACGGAGCTATTCCACCCAATATAATTTTGTAATTATGCCCCTTATGAGTTAAGGAGTAGGTTAACTGTATTACATTTGGTTGAGAAGGTAAATAATGTAATTTTTATGAACGGTTTTAAAAAAAAGACAGAAATTAAATTTTAAAAAATAAAACTTGAGAAAGAAAAGGAAAAAAGCTAAACACGCTAGAAGGAGGGCTTGAACCTCCGACCTTGTGGTTAACAGCCACACGCTCTAACCAACTGAGCTATTCCAGCAGATGCTAATTTTTTAATTTTAATTTTAACTAATTTTTAATACTATAAAACAATACAATAAGGTTATAAAATAGCGCTAGAAGAAGGGTTTGAACCTCCGACCTTGTGGTTAACAACCACAGCAAGTTTGATAATTATATCATAGAAAATATATTTTTCAAAAAATAAAAGATAGGATTAATTTTTTTTAAATCAATATTTTCTCTAATAATAATCTTTCTATTTTTTTTTTGTCCCTTTTCGAAATAGAAGAAATAAAATACAAATCAACACTATAATTTAAATTATGAAAATATGAAGCATAAACATAAATTTAATTTGATATCAATATTTTGAAAACTTCGTTGATTTTCGCGGAGTGAATAATGTATTATTATATTATTAACCATTCATTATCATTATTTCATAAAAGATAATTTTAAAAAAATTTCAAATTTTATGATTATTATTTTAATAAAATTAGAAAGTTGAATAATAAAAAAGTAAAATTTCAAAGTATTGAAAATTAATAAATATGAGAGGGTATTGTGTATAATATAATCTGTGATTCAACATATTTATGATTTTTTAGTAATACAAATTTGCTTTTGTACAATATTTTCAAAATTCTTGAGAGCAAAATCATCTATCTCTCTTTACACGTCAGCATCCGACCGTGCCCAAACCCCAAGGTAAGTTCCAACTCCACGCCACCACCCTGGCCCACCGAAGAAGCCTCCGCGGTCTCCACCGACAAGCACTCGGTATGTTCGCTGCCGCAGACCTTCTCCGGCGACACATGGCCCTCTAGATTGTCCAACTCAAACTTGAAACACCGGGGCTCCGATGAAATCCGGGCCGGTCCATCCACTACGAACTCGGGTAACATAACCGGTTCCTCCTTCGGCTTCGGCTTGCGCTTGAACCTCCGCCGCTTCTTTATCTCACTAAGACCGGAGCCTTGCTTTTTGGACACGTGGCGGATGTCGCAGCCTTTCAAAGGTGGGCCCATGTGGGACGTCGCCATCTCGCAAGAAACCGGCGGAATCGGTACGCCATTTAGAACGGCTTCCACGGCGTCCTGACACAGCTGCCAACTCCCGGACCACAACAATCCGGCCGACCCGAAGATCGGATTGACAATCCGGCCACACGCCTCGAACAGCAAAGATTTAAAAATAGCTGAAGGACCCACAAAACAAAAATCCAGTTATAAGTAATTGAAACAGAGCAATTGAGAGAGATAAGAAATGGGTAAGTAAAATACCAGGGCGGAGATGGTCGGGGCCGGCATTGATGAGGTTAAGGAGGCCAGCTCGGCCGTAGAATTTGGCGAGGAAGAAAGTAGCATTGGCTTGGGATTGAGGGGTTTTGATCCATTGAAGACAGGGTCTGATGGAGCAGCTCTCACTGCAGCCTTTGCGAAGAACTCGGCATCCGTTGCAGCTCATACGCATAGGCGATGGATTGGATTGGATTGGATTGCGAAGAAGAGAAAGAAAGTTGTGTTGTAATGGGGAAGGAAACGAGGGTGGGTTTTGTTTTTGTATTGATGGGCGCTAATGGTTTTCCAGTTTTGGTGATTCTCTGGTTTTGTTACCCATTGGGGAAGTGTTTGTTGACGGCTGCGAGTTCTCATCCAATTCCACTAACTATATTAAAACAAAATGGCTCAGAAAGTGCGTAGAAGGAAAAAAACAAGGGAGGAAAGCTGAGGGCGAGGAAGGAGCGCCCACAGTCTGAGACGAGGACGAGAATTCAGATGCTAAATCCACACGCTTGCTTTTCGTCATCTCGGCGGCGGCTATTCCCAACTTATCTCTATCCGCCTATTTACTTCCAATTTTAAATTTTATTTTATTTCATGTTGGGTCTAATAAATTTTTAAATTTATATTTCGCAAGCTATTAAATATAATTGTTTGTCAGTCAAAGTGGAGCTCGACCCTCTTCATAGTAAAGATGTTTTAATAAAGTGAGGTTCACGACAATATATAATGGGCAAAAATGAATAATCTAAGAAATGCTGACAAGTTTGTTAGGAATAGATTTTCACACATTTATGAGAAATGTTTCATTCTCCCTCATAATTTAACCCGTTAGGGGCCAGCACTCAGTAACAATTCAAGTCCCCAGAAGGAAAAACCTTGGTCCAAGGACTAAACTTCAGCCTCATTAACATTTTGACTAGAACGTTTAAAGATTTGGTTCGACGAGTAAATAGAATTTGGTCTTCTGAAAATAAAACGACAAATTTCATAGAAATTTTAACATGTTAGCTGTGAGATTGAAACCATTCATCAAGAATAAGACGAACAATACCAGAAAAAAGAAGGAAAAGAAAGAGATGAAGCATTACAACGTGTCTGCTTCTTGGTTAATTACACTTGCTGTCTAAACTCAAACTAAAAGACAAGTTTCACATTCAAGGTATTGGGAAATGGTTCCAAATCTGCGGCTCATATTTTATTCCCAGTTACCATCTTTTGAACTCTCAAAAACCATCATCATCCCATTTGCAGTAGAAAAAAATGGCCACCAACCCTCCACCCTCTGTGGCCATATTTTCTAGTCCCTCCTACACCCTCTTTTTATGCAAAATTATGAAAGTGACCCCCCAAATATGTTAATTAATATTGAGAGTGCGAGGGTATAGAAGTAAAGAAAACATGAACAAACAGAAACAAAATTGAGAAAGTTCTCTTCTTTATTTCCTCAGATTAGATCGTCTAAAACATCATTAGTCACCTTAATTACAGAGACATCTCTTTGAGATTTGATGAACAGCAGCAACAACAACAACAAAAGGACTCAGCAACAACATCCATCATGCATTTGATTGACTCTTCTATATACAACTTTACACATTAGTGAAAAGAAAGAAAAAAGACGCATCAGTTTCAACTCAATTCTCCTATCCCAAATCTCCTCCACTTCAAATACCTAGGCTGCCTCCCTTTTGGTTAAGCCACAACAGAAATGCTGCAATTTCGGGCATCGCGGTCAAGACAGTCGAATCCTTCGATTCGGACTGCTGCAGGTCGATGCCCAAATTTCATACGGGTGCATCCACCTTTATGGGTTGCTGGAGATGGGGGTTCTTCACAAAGTTGGTAGATATTGTTACCATTACCAAATTGTTCATCTTGGACTAAAGGGTTGGAAGTCCTACTTGGTGGAGTCCCCCAAAAGAATGGGGGAGATGTTGCCAATTGGTGGCTTAAATTTTCACCAAAACTTTCCTATGATATAAAAAGAATCACATTTAAAAGTTTGTGTTGGTAGTAGTAGCTCTTCAATCTTACACACGACAGAAATAAGTCATCAATCAAGATAAACACTGAGAGAGAGTAATTAAGAACCTTAGCGAGGATCATATCAAGAAATTCAGCTCCTGCTTTAGAATTTCCAGTCTTGGCATGGCTGCAAGGAAGCATATTCATAAATAAGAAGTTTATTCTCAGAGATTCAAGTTCATATCCACATAATCAAAAACAGAAAGGTCTTAATTCTAGCAAAAAGAAGTTTAAATTGGGATTAACGGACCCGATGGGCCATCTATGGGCAGTGATGGGGTCATTATCAGGAAGGGTTTGAAGAACCAAGCGGCGTGGCTTAGGACAAACCACAGATTCCATCCTCATCTCTTGGCAGGCAGCCATAGTGTTGTGCTCGTAAACCCACCTGTTCATTCTCTTTGATATTCCTCCTTACAACTTAAAGCTCTACAACAAACAAATAAACAAACACCTTTCAGGCAACTTAGATTTTTCAGCAAAGTGGATAGAAACAAATCCCATTTTGAACTCTCATTACGTGCAACTCTAGACTTCTTTTTATCTCTTAACAAATTAGAGAAGGACATCGATATGCACAACACAAAAACTCAAAGAGCCACCCCCCCCCCCCCCCCCCCCCCCCCCCCCCCCCCCCCCCCCCCCCCCCCCCCCCCCCCCCCCCCCCCCCCCCCCCCCCCCCCCCCCCCCCCCCCTCTCTGTCTCTCTCTCGAGCAGCGACAACAACCGGCTAAAAGTTCGGGAGATCAACAATGGGGGAAAACTGAAATCGGTTGAAATGTAAACCTTATTCTCCCATTAATCCTCCTCTCCAGTGAAGGTTATTGTTCAATTATCATTCGAATCAAGTCCCGAGGCTCTAAACAAACAATCCGACCAAAATTTGAAAACTAAAAAAGAAGCCTAAAATTCTTGAAGAACCGAGCAGAAAACAAGCAATCCAAACCGGAAAACAATCACCACCAGAAAATGTTGTCAAACAAATAGATAACCAACCAACACAGACACAGAGAGAAAGAGGAGATACCTGAAATGGCGGCTCCTCCGCGGAAAGAAACGTCTGGTGAAGGAAGAGGAGTAGAGAGATAGAGAAGGAAACAAGAGAGAGAGAAGCACAGAAGTTTGAGTTTCACTGGTTAAGAGAGAGAGAGAGGAATTTGAAGAGAAATGGAGAAAGAGGAGTTGCAGAGGACTTTGAGTTCACTATTCATAGAACAGGGATGAAGATGATGGGTAGGTTGGGAATTGGATATGAGACATTCTAATCTGCGCCAACGAGCATCAGATACTGTATTTTCAACCGTTGATTTTCTCATTGATTCACGATGTTGGATCTCCAGCCGTTCATTCAGTTCCGTGGGTCCCACTCTGAGAGATTTTTTGGCCACATGATTCCGGATGCCACGCATTTATTAATTTTAATTTGTAGATCTGCAACGCAATTAAAATTAAAAATAAAAAATAATAATAAAGAATAACACATGCTCTTTTTATTTTCCTGTTTTTTTTAAAAGAGAAATTATAACGCTCAGTACAATTTAATTCAATATATAATTTGGAATTTTTTATTCTATTATTTAATAAATTAGGTTAAATTAGATTTAAATTCCAAAAACAAAATCTACAAAATAAACCCTTTCTCATCATCGGCCCAAAAGTCCTCAAGCCCAGTCCAAGGTCAACGGTTGATCAGCCCAGCCCAGCCCAGCCCAGCCTAACCCATGAACCAACCCATCCAAGTCGAATTTGGATCTATCCGTTGAGTTAGGCCCAATCTAATGTAACAATATTAAAATAAATAGATAATAAACAAAATTATAAAACTATTCAGAAGTAAAGAAATTAAAATATAAAACTTTATTCAATTCCATACAATTATATCATAATTAGCAAATAATAACATGATTGAATTAAAATGAATCAGATTATTAAAAACTTGGCCGTTTTTATTCTCGCTAAAACATGTTTTATTCAGACCCTTCAAAATAAAAATAAACTCTAATTCAAAAGCTGCCTTGGTTGCTAGCTCGAATCTCGTCTTCCCATGTCGAGGGCCTAAGTATTTTTAATCTAAAATAGGAGATATTCACTCTTCCTTTGATCCCATCTCAACGACGGTGATCTTAATGAGCCGGGAAGAAAAGAGGCGAGGAATCTCGTTGAAGTTTTCCATCCAAAATTCGAACTTTGCTCATTTTAGCCTCGCACCAATGGAGCTGTTCTTCAGTTAAATCCGCGGTTCTTAGAACCCTAGAGACCACTCTTAGGTCTATAAGAGCCATCAAGATCTCCATTTCTTCCTCCACGGTGAGCTTCCTTTTCCTCAAGCACTTCCCAGCACGACGAAGGTCTTTAAGCTTTATCCTCTTCTGCACTCATAATAAGAATGATAAGAATCTTGAAGTTGTACGAACCCATGTTGAGCTAGATTTGCTTACTTTTTGGTTAACTTTCTTCATGAGTTGGAGGAGAGTTGGATCAACAGCAGCCCTTTTCTTTCTCTTGAAAAATGAAGCTACAATCTCGCATGGTTTCTCTTTATCTGCTTTCAAGAAGTTCATGTATGTTCTTATTCCATCCTCCATGATCATTAGAAAAGATGGCGACGATATTCTTGACCCGTACCCGCCTCCTTCCTTATCCTCGTCCTCTGAATCTTCAAAATCCACGATCAAAACTGTTAGTACTTTGTTTCAAAAGTTTCACTAATACCGTATATTTTTAAAATATTTAAAAAATTATCCACGAACTTTTAAATGTAGTATTAACATACTTTAATTTTTATTAAAAAGTTATTATCTGTCAACGTATGGACGAAAACCACCGATCTACCTCTTATAAATCATCTCAATCTTCAATTTTAAAGGTACTGACAATAGTGTTACTAATCTTTTCCTCTATTGGTTGAGAGAAAAACAAAATCTCATTTATAAGGGTGTGGAAACCTTCCCTTAACCGATGCTTTTTAAAGCTTTAGGGGAAGCCTGAAAGGGAAAATCCAAGGAGGACATTATCCGCTAGTGATGGACTTGGGCTGTTAAAAATGGTATAGAGCCAAACACCAGACGATGTGCCAACCTTCTTGTTGTTCCCTAAAGGGGGTAGACATGAGATGGTGTGCCAGGAAGAACGCTAGCTCCAAAGGGGGTGGATTTGGTCAGGGTCCCACATCAATTAGAGAAAGGAAAGAGTGTCTGAGGTTGCTGGGCCTCGAATGGAGGTGGATTGTGATGCCTCACATTGGTTGGGGAGGAGAACAAAACACTCTTAGGGTGTGGAAACCTTCACTAGCATACGCGTTTTAAAGCCTCGAGTGGTAGGCTTGGGCCGTTACAAATGGTATCAAAGCTAGACAGTGGACTATGTGTCAGCCTCCCAGAAGGGGGTAGACACGAGACAGTGGGCCAGTAAAGATGCTAGCTCCAAAGGGGTGGATTTAGTCGGGGTCCCACATCGATTGGAGAAAGAAACGAGTGCTAGTGAGGACGTCGACGCCCTTTATAAGAATGTGGAAACCTTCCCCTAACAGATGCGTTTTAAAGTCTTGAGGGGAAGCCCAAAAGAGAAAGACAATATTGGTTAGTGGTAACATCTATAATACGTTTTCGAATTTTAAACAAAATTGTACCTATAAATTCAGGGACTTGGAGCAAATTAGGAGCCAAGAGTCTCATACGAGCATAAATCTCAGGGCGACGGCCATGTTCATAAGGCTCATTCTCAACATAACGTTGAAGAAGAACTTGAAACTGTTGAAACTGTTGAGCAACTTTGCCAGGACATCCACCGTCCAAATCTCTCGTGCAACAACTCAATTTGTTGTTCACAAAATTCTTATAGTTCCAATTTAGAGCCTCCCATGTCAAGCAAATTTGTGCTACATAGGCAGCCTCCAGTTCATGATATGGGTTCTGCTTCACATCTGAGGCCTTCTTGTTCATGTTCATGCTCCCAAACTTATGAACAATCCTCTCTGATAGCGATCTTGGGCACACTTTAATTGATCTCAGTGACTCTGTGTCAAAAAATTTATGCCAAGATGGAATCTTTTGGTTACTTGAGGTGGAAGGAATTAAAGTATGAAATGGGTCAAAAAGTAGAGACCTGTTTCGTGAAGCTTTTGGGCAGTGATTCGATCAAGAAACATCATTTCTTCATCATATTTCTGGAAAACAGTGAAGGATTCCCATTTGGGGCAGCTCCTCCTTGAAGATGAAGAGAGTGGATCTTCAGTTCCGGAGTGGTCTCTACCGTTTATTGAGCTTCTCCACTCTGATGAGCTCTTTGATGTTGATCCCACTGTGCATGAATCCCTAAATACCAAATAATTTCCATTCTCATCTCTTCTTTTATCATCCTCCACCAAGATCTTTCTCACGAGCTGCTCCGAGTCCTGCACGGATCTCACTTTCCAAGTTAACGTCGAAGATGGTTAAGAGGGAGTCCCACATTGGCTAATTTAAGGAACGGTCATTGATTTACAAGTAAGGAATATATCTTCATTAGTATAAAACGGTTTGGAGAAACAAAAAACAAAGCCACGAGACCTTAGGTTCAAAGTGGACAATATCACAAAAGCCACGATTAATAAGATAGAATGAAGCCTTTTGGGGAAACAAAAAGTAGACCCACGAGAGGTCGCTTATGTTTAAAGTGAACAATATCGTACCATTGTAGAGAATCGTGATGAAAATTCTTTTGGCATCTGGTCATCTTCATCGTTATCGTCTTCTCGTAGCGACTGTGGGGACTCATAAACCGAGGTACTAGTTTTGAGTTGGGCATGTGGGTGAGAGGATTCCATGAGCCAAGGCTCCTCCAAATCTATGAATAACAATTCTTCTTCATCAGGAAGCTGGCTTTGCCACCGGCTCATCCTAGTTTCAGCTTCTTTATCAAGAAACGTCGTCCTTTCAACCTCGGTACCGCACGCTTCTTCTTCTTCCTCTTCCTCGTCGTCCTGGACGTCGTATGCATATTCGTATTCATTTCTGCAAAAAAAAATTTGAAGAGGAGAGCCAAGGAAGTGGAAGAATTTGAAGAGGAGAATAGAAGAGAAGGAGAAGAAGAAGAAGAGAAGGAAGAAGGAGGAGGAGAGATTGTAGAATAGCCTTAGAACACCTTCTTCTTCTGCTTCTTTACACCAATAATATTGCATTTTGGATTATTGCTCTAAAATCACCTCCCAACAACACATACATACACATTTTATTATTATTATTATTATTATTATTATTATTATTATTATTATTATTTTATTAAAAAAAGAAAAAGAAAAAGAAAGAAGAGTGAGATATACAAAGGAGAAAGAGAGAAAGGAAGAATGTTTCCTTTGTCCATAATCCCATGTAGGAAATTACATATTTGACCCACCACTGATCCCGTTTTGTGAAGGATGAGCGGGGTAGATTTGTAACTTGGCAAGTATATACTTTTAAAATAATATTGAACCCATTTTTACTTTACCATATATATAACTTACGCAGTTGGAGACTTGGAGATACTCTCAACTTCCTTCCTCAACAAACTAATTGGAATCACTTGTAATTCAATGAATTTCATATATATAAATATATATATACATATATATATATAAACCTAAACTAAATCACACGCATTACTTACGACAAACAAATGAAATAAGATGCCTTTTTCAAAGAAATATCGAAATTTAAAATAATTATAAAAATATGATATATTTTGTACTATTTTAATGTAAATTTAGTTTCCATGATATTTAAAAAAAAAAAAGATAATTTAGAGATTTTTATTTATTATTTATTATTTATTTTTATAGTTTTTTAGGCAGCTGCATGCTTGTCCTTACCTTTGCCTCTAAGGTTTCTTTTCTGTACATTTGTCTGCTCTACTTTTTAATCAGAATTTTAAGGAAATATTACTAAATATTTTATTTCAAAAAAAAAAGTATTTATATTTATATTAAGATTTTGAAATTTAAAATAGTTAGAATTTTATTTTAATGGAAGTATTATTTTATTTATATTTTATTGGAATTGCTGTCATATTAATAAATAAAAAATAAAATAAAATTATTGTTACCTTGTATTTAATTTAAAGCTAGCTAAATTTGTGAATTATAAGAAATTAGAATATATAGCAAGTATAAATAAGCATGTGGGTGAGTTTCTAGAAGCCTAAGGGATTTTGATTACGTAGTGTATTTAAAATTTAATCCAAATTGTAGTTAGGAAATTGGATTTTAATATTATTTATTATTTTTATTTTATACGCAGTCCTGTCGTTTGGTCACCCTTTTAACCACTCTTACTAAAATAATAACCTTAATATATATATATTTATTCACTAATTTACTACAAAATCTTATGTTTTTACCGTTTCAAACTACTTTTTATATAGAATGTTCTAACAATATTAAATTCTTAAATTATAAATTCAATCTTTTTAATTACAAACCATTTCTTCCGACTCTAAATAATTACCATATCTAACTCCCTTCAGTGGAGTCGAAACTGAGATCGTTTATAACAATTCAAGTTCACTGCTAGTCGATTTTGTCCCTTAGTCGAAACTTAGTGGATAACATGTGTATGTTAGAGAGAGGGTGAATACTTCGTTTCTCTCGCCTACATTATTTCATTTTTTTTTTTTTTAAAAAAAACCTCCTATTAATTTGTCACCAATTTAATTACTTCAAACATTTAATAGGGAAATTAAAAAAAAAATGATTTTTTTCTCATGCAAAGCAATGGCATTATGGTAATTTTGTAAACGGTAGAAAACCCCATATTTCCATGCACATCTTTGTCAACGTGTTAGCTGTAATAAAGAAGATAAAAAGAATCCAATTTCGTGTATATATATATATATATATATATATGTACTTGTTGTTCTTCAAAATAATAGCTGATCTTAGGAGTTGTTGAATGGAGGAGGAAAATCTGCCACCTGGCTTCAGATTCCATCCTACTGATGAAGAACTCATTTCTTATTATCTCACTCGCAAGCTTTCTGATTCTTCTTTCACTTCTAAACCAATTGGGGTTGTGGATCTCAACAACAATGAGCCTTGGAATCTCCCTGGTAATCTCATGTTTTTTTGGGTTTATGTTCGTTAAGGTGTTGATATAATTAAATCGTTTTACTGTAACTCATCAGCTAAAGCTTCGATGGGAGAGAAGGAGTGGTACTTTTTCAGCTTGAGAGATTGGAAGTACCCGACCGGGCTTCGGACCAATCGAGCGACCGAGGCAGGTTATTGGAAGACGACGGGAAAAGATAAGGAGATCTTTGGCGATGGTGTTTTGGTGGGAATGAAGAAAACTCTGGTGTTTTATAAGGGAAGAGCTCCGAGAGGTGTGAAAAGTAATTGGGTTATGCATGAATACCGCTCACTAAACAACCATTTTTTCAAACGCTCGAAGGTAAGTTGTTTCTGTGAATATTTGACTCGTTAATATAAGCAAATATCTTATATGATATTTAGTCTTCCATTGTGATACTATATTTGACTTTTTATTATAGACAAATTGTGATGTTCCATGTTGGTTGGAGATGAGAACAAAACATTCTTTATAAGGGTGTAGTTCTCGTAGCAGACGCATTTTAAATCTTTGAGGAGAAGCTCAAAAGAGAAAGCAAAAAAAAAAAGACAATACCTATTAGCAGTGGGTCTGAGTCGTTACACAAATATCTTGCATCCATTTATTAATGGGAGTTAGCTTTTTTTACTCTTTTTCAGGAAGAATGGGTAGTTTGCAGGGTGTTTGAGAAGCAAAACACAGGAAAGAAGCCACAGCAGTTGTCATCATGTTGTGAGACAAACTCAATTATGAATGAATTTGGAGGCATTGAGGTATCAAATTTCAGTAACTTCAGCAACATTTCAGCTGAAACATATGAAAACAATAGCATGGTTGATATGATGAATATGAATTGGGGTGCACCTGCAAATGAAGCAGCTTCTATCAGTGCTCTTCCTTCACCTTCATCATGCCCACTTAATTCCAATCTTTCCATGAATTCTCTTCCTCTCAAGGCATTGCAACTTACAGCCTTCCATCAAAGGGGCGTTGATGCTCAATTTGGAACTCACCATTTGAGCTGCTTCCAACCTTCTTCCTCTTCAAAAGTCTTTGACTCTTCAACCCAGCAGCAACAGCAGGAGCAACCATTCAACTTGGACTCCCTATGGTGACAAAGAGATAACCCTCTTCTTAAACTTTCTAATATGTCAGTTTCAATAAGGCAAGTTTTAGGGATGAGTAGACCCATATTGAGTTCAAATGTTATAGGTGAAACCTCCCTTTCAATCTCAGGAGTTAATTGTCTCAAATCAGATTCCACGTTGATTGGAGAGGAGAACGAAACATTCTTTATAAGAGTGTGAAATTTAATGGCGATACGTAATATATCAAAGTGAATTATATCTACTAACGGTGGGCTTGAGATATTACGTGTTATGTGGTTTTATTCCCATGGTACCATCAACAAAAATGCTTTGTACTAATAATATATACTAAATAGTTTTAATCCGTAGATTATAATAGATTTTAACATTTCAATAACTAAATGGACAATTTTCCAAGTTGAGGTCCTTATAATATATTGTCGCTGAAACTTAGTGTCTCTGAACTTACCGTTTACCAAGCAAATATAGTATCTCGATACATATAAATCCTCCAAATTTGAAGTTTCTTAAAGTCAAAGTAACATGTGGTACAAAAGAAAACCTAATTGTTTGACTTTGACTTTCATGTCACATTAACTTCACTTGCACTTGCATACTGTCCCATATAGTCTAAAATGTTACCATCGGTGTTCTTTTACTTTGTGTTATTACGAGCTAAATCAAATGCTGACACGATATCCTATTACAAAAATGATTATTCTTCTATCATTTTAAATTGACACGCTATGAAATTCATTTCATTCAAACTAAAATCAACAGTATAAGATGGTAAATCTCAAAAGATGTGCTTTTTCAACGTACAAAAAGAAAATAATTTTAGTTCTCAATAATTAAGAACAAACAAGTCAAACAAAGAAGCTTTGGAAATTTTGAGTCCCTCGAACCCAAGTTGTGTAAGGAATCCACTTTATGATCCTGTTAAAAAAACATTAAGGGGGCCTCCTATATTGACCTTCTTTACAAGCAAGGAATAACAGATACCAATAATTTATCAAAAGGAGCCATTTGGAAGTGGAACAAAACCAGATAATGGTTAGAACTTGGAAGAAAAAATTTGGATCATTGGCTGAATTGATACATGAATCTTGCACTTCACTTCAGCTGCAGAAGAGAAAAGGAAACAATGAAGCCTTGAGGAATCCGTTGCTCCATTGTTCCTGTTCTAACGAGTAAATGAGTGATTCACAGGGAAAAATAGATCACACCCATTTTAGCTTGAACTTGAAGCAAATTTCTGAGTGGTTCTTATAAATTACCCAGCAGGCACAGTTTTGAAACCAGCTTTCATTGGAAAATGGCATGATTGACTTCGGCAGATATCGGGTCTGGGGTTGGTGGTACGTTTTCCACATCGTTCAACCTGGTACGGCCCGAAATTAGGAGGTTCAACAGAGTTATGGATTGGACTTAGTTTAACTCTTTCATGGCAAGGGTAGAAGAAAGACGGATCATTTCTGATTTGAGTGAAGAATCCTAGACTGAACAGTACTATAAAAGATAAGGATGGATCTAAATATTTAGTAGTATTCTCACATTTACTTGGGAGAACCTGTTACCAGAATCATATAACCAGGGCTGTTCGCTCATTAAAGCGGTACGTGAGCTGGGTAGCACCTAATGTAATATCTTAGGCCACGAAACAACATGCTTTAAGGGAAAGAATAAGGTACCTGAAATGCAATTGCAATAAGAACACTCCATCTGTTCACAACTTGGATATACTCTCCCAACCTAGTTCAGAGGATCATCGGTGCTTTCCGAGTCGGAAAAATCAAAATCTTTATCTTCTTCGAACTCACTGTCTTCATCATTGCTATCTTCATCACTGTCATCATCTGAAATCGCAGACAAAGATGCTTCCTCGTCCTACAGATCATAACACATATTTTGACCTTAAACTTCTATTCAACTTTTATACAGGGAACAGAGGAAATAGCAGTCAGAAACTCACTTGGAAAGATCCTGAGACAGGTCCATCCTGAGACGACCAGTTATTCTCATCATCTGTATCTTCAGTAACACCCTATGATTGGCAATTAACAATTACCTCAAACAAAGAATCGGGCGATCCGTGACAATATCCATTTTTTGTGGTGGGGTCGGTATGGGGATGTGATATCCCACATTGGTCGGAAAGAGAACAAAACACCCTTTATAAGCATGTGGAAACCTTTATCTAGCAGACGCGCTTTAAAGCCTTGAGGAGAAGCCCAAAAAGGAAAGCCCAAAAAAGATAATATCTGCTAGCGGTGGGTCTGGCCTGTTCAGGGGAGCTAAGGCCACCCCTTCCCACTCGAACCCGACAATCCCACGTATGCAGAGAACTCATACGAGATGCTCCTATAGTTTCTATCCTATGTAACATGGAAGAAAATGTTATGCAGAATTTGAGAAGTTTCTACTTACAATTTCTTTCTTCATTTCCTCTATGTTTTTCTCGAGTTCAGATATATGCTGACTGAGAGCCTACAAAGTTCCAGATAGATGATTCAAGGTGGACATCAGGGGTCAAGAACAGTAGATGATTAACACCAAAAAAATGGAGAAAAATGGAACCTCATGACGCTGCATGGCAACCGAACGCTTCAATGCTTTTGCCTTTGTAAGCAAGTTTCTTGGCCTCAAGGCAATGGGTCGACGATAATTCTTTCCTCGATAGTAAATAAGGGTATATCCTTTTGGAACTCGATCGATCGAAACTAGTATCCCACCACTCTCATACTCTAACAATCTTGCTGTTTCTTCCACAAAAGCAAGTGTCTTTTGCTTGCTAATTAACTTAACCAGCTCCCTATGCTTCCAGTGTAAATGCATGTTTTCAACCACACCATCAAAGACACCACGAATGCCTGGAAAATCATGATTATTGTTTAAGAAAGAATATAGAAATTTAACTACATTTTCAAATTAATTTCACTCACCTATGGGTAAATATGCTGTCATTCGTAACCCAACTTTTCGAAACATGACCCGTTCCTCATCCGTTATTGTTTCCTGGTCATCATCCGGGCCAGAAAGAACCATGGACGCTTCAATTCTAGATAGCAATCTTTCTGCTCTAAGTTTCTTAGCTTGGGCCTAACCATCAAGTTATTAAAAGATAGAAGTTGAGTATTCTATGAGAAGATCAATATCAGCAATCGAACATTCTCGGACCGAACAAAATAAGATAATACTTACAACACCTAGCTTATGTTCAATTCGTCTGACAAGTTTTGCAGTTTTCACTCTCGAGCTTTCTTCAATCATTTTTTCACGCTCTTCAGCAGATATTTCCCTTCCCCACCTGGACTGAGCCTCATAAAATTCAGCCAAGGTACCTGCAGGTGCCTGTCCATCATCGCTTGATGAAGTTGCCTCGACGACTTTATTTCGAGCTTTCTCTTCCAAGTCTTGAATCTGTTTTGTTAATTCCTGCCGTTCTGCCAACGCTGCAGCTACACTTGGTGGGAGAAAATCCTTCCCACGATATACGACGATAAAATACTTGTTCCTCAATAGTAACATACCTCCTGTTAAATACTGCAGCCATGTGAAAATGATATTAGTATAAGCAACAAATAACATGGCAGTTTGGTTCTAAACTTCTGCTTAAAAAGAAACTGCATTCATTATAGAAATATGAAACGCACCCTTATCTCCTCAGCCATGAGTTTATTATTGGTATTCTGTATACCTCTTTTAACAGCAATTTTAGCCACTAGGCTTTTCTCCCAAAGTTTAAGTATAGCAACAGCCAAGCCCTGATGGTTCCTGTTTCTCCCTGCATATACAGATTTGGAGGAAAAAACATCACCAAATAGTATGTTCATAACAGAATCATGCAGAAAAATTAAAGGGCATTAGGAAATACCAAGAGCAAAATGACAAGGCAAGGATTTCGCAAGCTTCCTCATCTCAGTCATCTCTGCATTGGTAAGTCCCGACCGCATTCCAGTTGGGAGAAGCCTGAGAGGAGTTTTGTAACCGGGAATACTCGGAGGAAGCTGATCAGCATCAATAGGAAGCACCCCTGTGCCCCACCATTCAACAAAACGAGGACCTAAACCATCTAGGAGTTGGTTGTATTCAACCTCTTCCTTTGTCATCTTGGCCGTCCCTGGAGCTGAAGCCGCAACACTGCCACTCATTGTTGAAGTGGCAGCAGAAGAAGCATCTGGGATGAATATCCCTTCCCCCTCCCTTGCAAGGGGCTTAGTATTCGATGGCGCTTCATAGTTACTTCCGCGGTAAACTACCATAACACTTCCAGACCTCCATAGAACCAATCCTCCAGTTCTTCGCTGGTCATCAGATCATTCAAGTATTTAACAAACACATAGTATACTAATAATGGAGTGCCAATCAGGAACTTTATTTAAAAAAATCTAATCAAGAACAAACCTCTACAATTTGGTGCGCTGTCTTCATGTCGTGTGCAAGCTCCTCGTGAAACTTAAGCCTTACAAGTTCCTCCTTCCTCCATTTCCCATGAATCTTCTCTAGCACTGCTTGCGTAATCCCTGCTTTGGGTATGTTAATCCGCTCTCTAATGAACATCCCCATTCCCCTCAGTCGCCTCAGCTCCTCATCTTCAATTGTCAATTCAGCTAATGTCGGAGGTTTCATCTTTCTCCTTTTCAACCCTCTTCCACCGCCCTCCTCTTCAGCCCTTTCCTCCTCTCTCTCCCATGGCAGAACCATTTCATCCAATATGGTATCCGGTCGAATCCATTCACGTTGAAGTAAATCCCCAAATCTTTCCTCCCCCGTCACCGGCATTGGCTCGAGAGAATCCAATTCGTTATCCTCCTCTATCCCTAAATTTCGTAAGCGAAGCACAATTCGATCAACTGCACTCTCCCCTCTGTTCTTATCGAAGAATTGCGTCTGATTCTCCGCTCGATCAGTTCGATCATCTCGGGTCGTTTCGGCCAAATTCTTCTCGACTTTACGATCATTACGAGAGCTCCCATGAGGCCATTTGGAGATCCAAGAAGAAGAGGGTCCAGAATTGTGGGAGGTTTTAGGGATTCGCTTGCCGCTGTGCTCAGTGGGGGTTCTGAGAGAAGAGAATGTCTTTAGAATCTGTAAAGACAAATTGGGGGATGAAAGAAGAGTACGCGAGTGGGAGAAGAGTGGAAGCGAGTTCTTCAATGGCAGTTCCGATAGTTTGGTAGTTGCAAAGGCCATATCTGTAAGCTTAATCAACAACTGAGTCTGGAATGCATTGTTTCTTTGCTTTCGTCGGCCATTGGAGGCAACCAAAGAAGCAGAAAGAAGAGGAAACCAAGCTTGAGGGTTGCAGAGTGGAGGAAGAGAAGCTTCAGCTGAGAGAAGACGATGGATAAGATTTTTCTATAAAAGTCGGGATTTTAATTCAAAAACTAAATGTATAATTTAAAATAATTTATACTACTGTATAGCATAAGAAAAGAAAATTGATTTCAATTTAAGTTTTTGTGAAAATTGTGAATTATCACAAATAATTTTATATATTAATCAAATTTAATATATAAAATTTGAAACATCTGTCACAATTGCACTCTTACAGCAACAATAGGAGAACGATTATATAACATTTGTTCTAACACAATGAATAAGTCAGACGTGTGAATTTAAACTTCACGAACAATGTTGACGTATGCTCAAGCCTTGGATCATGTTTGAGAGAGATCGTGAGATCCCACATTGGTAGGGAAGAGAACAAATGATTCTTTATAAGAGTATGAAACCTCTCTCTAGCAATATCGGGAGAATTGGGCTGCTACAGACATGTTTTAGAAAACGTGCTTAAGAAAGCAATGTTATTATCTAAAAGCAAATGAGCAACCACAACTTTGATAGCATTTAATTTAGATGAGGTAGAGCGTAAAATAAGAACATATCCTTTAACTGTACATGGCTTGTAATTGTGTGCATCATACAAAGGCAGGCATCAACTATGAACCAATCAATCTTACAAAACTATGTACCTATCTGAACTGGTCTCTATGGATAATCATAACTCAAGAATGCTTCAATTCCCAGAAGATCTCCGACTAATTGAAGGAGTATTAAGAATCTCCTGACCAAGCTCCTTAATCTTATTTATGAGAAGCGTTTGTTCAGTTTCAAGCTGTAGTATATACTCCTGCTGCACTTCCTCCAGGCTTTCTAGTTCACTCAACGTGGCCGAAACACCGTCGAGATTAGCCTCCTCGAACAAACTGCGAATCTTGCTGATTGTTTGCTTCATCTGTTTAAAATGGTGCATTTCAGGCATGAATCATGAAGTTTGAGCTTGAACATAAAGATGGGAAGAACAGTAAAATACATCACCTGACTTGAAACTTGATGTGCCTTGGTAACAGCAGATGATTCAGAATCTAAACTAAGCCTTTTCTGTTTCTGAGAATCAGGAACTTTTCTTGTGATTTGGATGTGGATCTCTCCTCTTGTCACCCCTTGAAGAGGTATCCATTTGTCAGCCATTTGGTTTGGAGGCAATCTTTGATACTCAACAACACAGTCTCCAATGCTTGATGTGGGTAGTAAAGCATTATGATCCTTAACATACAGCACTAAAGGGCTCCCATTATCAGGGAACTCTAACGTCTGGTTCCAGTGAGGATTTAAAGTTTTGAACATAACCTGCTACACATATCATCATTGTAGTCAGAAGAGTTCATAACAGTTGCAAATAGTATATTTAGTTCGAGAACCTTTGTTCGTTTCTTCAAGTCTCCATAATGCACTCTCACATAAGGGTCGCTTGTTCCTCCAATATCAGCAGCAACCAAATCTTTAGCTTCTATGATAACAAGTTCGATCCAACCATTATTTGAGCCTGTGTTTGAACCCTGAAAGCAGAAAAATATCCCCAAATAGGCATACAAATTAAGTCAATATAGCATATGCAGGGACCAGCTTTCATGGACATTCTACTCCATAAGAAACTATGAGATCCCACGTCGATAAAAAACTATGAGATCCCACATCGATTGGAGACAGTGGGTCTCAAAGGGGGTGGATTGTGAGATTCTTTATAAGGGTGTGGAAATCTCTCCCGAGTAGATGCGTTTTAAAAACCTAAAGGGGAAGTCCGAAAGGGAAAGCCCAAAGAGGACAATATCTACTAGCGGTGAGCTTGGCTGTTACGAATGGTATCAGAGCCAGGTTCCAGATGGTGTGTCAGTGAGGACACTGAGCTCCGAAGGGGGTGGACACCGAGCAGTGTGCTAGTGAGGATACTGGGCCCCGAAGGGGATGGACACCGGGCAGTATGCCAGTAAGGACGCTGGGCCCCAAAGGGGGATGGACACTAGGCGGTATGCCAGCGAGAACACTGGACCTTGAAAGGAGGTGGATTGTGAAATTCTACATTGGTTGTAGACGCTGGATCTCGAAGGGGGGTGGATTGTGAGATCCCACATTGGTTGGAGACAATGGCCCCGAAGGGGATGGATTGTGAGATCCCACATTGATTGGAGACACTAGGCCCCGAAGGGGGTGGATTATGAGATCTCACATCAGTTGGAGAGAAGAACGAAATATTATTTATAAAGGTGTAAAAACCTCTCCCTAACAAACGCGTTTTAAAAACTTTGAGGGGAAGTCCAAAAGGGGAGTCATTGTCAACAAGAATACAGAAACATCACGATGTGTTGTACTAAACCATACCCTTGATCCTTCATAGTCATCTGCCTTGAGTGCTTCTATCAGAAGCCTTAGTTCTCCAGAATTTACTTTCTCGAGGGGTATCCATACGTCCCTGACTGTTCCTTCAAGAAATCCTTCCAAATTCACTCGGGCAGTACCTATGTTTTCATCACCAAATATATCTACGCCAAAGCATTTTATCTTGAGGTATTCACCACCTCCAATCTCATCAAACTCGAACTTTTGATTCCAAATAGGATTTACAGAAACAGCAGTTTTTGTTTTCCGGAGAGCCTGAAAGGAAGTCTGCTGAGTAAGTTTTCAACTATAAAGCTTATGTTATTGATCTAAGCTTCCTGTTCTTAAACTTCAATAGAAAAAGGGTATAAAGATTAACCTTCCCATATTCCAGTTTTACATATGACTCACTCTTAGCAGATTTATCCTTCATACTAAGATCTTTTCCTTCTACAATGGTAATTGAAATTTTCCTTCCAGTTCTTGAAGGAAGGTTTGAGGACCCATTAACCGGCTGTTGAGGTCTAACATGAAGATTAAGCGAGCTATGTGAACCATCAGAAAATTGCCATTCTTTAGCAACAAGCTTCACTGTTAACTGTAAAATAGGTTAACAAAGTTTGAGATGGACATGAATGTAGTAAGCTAATGATCGAATTTTCAGGCACCAACATCATACCTCCCCACAACCAACGCCTTCAAACGGGACAACCATTTCAACCTCTTTTCCACAAAACTCAGCATGCTTTGCTATCACTTCAGAGTCAGATCCCATTGCCCAAAATGTTGTGGAATCATCAGCGGCATACTTCATCTGCTCAACAAGTCAAAGAATATGATTAGCTGATACTAAGATTGTGTTGAGGATCGTTGGGAGGGAGTCCCACATTTGCTAATTTATGAAATGATCATAGGTTTATAAGTAAGGAATACATCTTCATTAGTACGAGACTTTTGGGGAAACCAAAAGCAAACCCGTGAGAGCTTATGCTCAAGGTGGACAATATCATACCATTGTGAAGAGTCGTGATTCCTAACAGATTGTTCATATCTTATGAGTAATGGTTTCAGGAGAGTACCTTTACTTCACAACTGGCTAGATAATCATACTTGACAAGGCTTGGGTTAGATTCATAAAGATTGAACCGAAGAGTTCCTGTATCTTCATGCAAAATCATATTGAACGTTGAATTCCATACAGGGTTGGAGCCTGATCTTAGAGTAGTTTTCCTACTTAGCTCATGAAATTCCACCTCGACAAATGTCTGCAGTTCTTCCTTATCAGTTGAGTTTTCTTCTGGGGGACTATTCATATAAGTACTCAGAGGCTTTCTGGAAGAGTTGCCTCTTGAGTAATTCCTGGAAAGCTTACTGGCTGAGATGACTGTCACATATAATGTACCACTGACAACCTTTTTACCCAGGTCAACTGCTGGCAATGAGAGACAGCGGCGTCGAGGTTCAACCATTGTCTTTACTATGATGTCTGTTAGAAGTTTAACCTGCAAAAGAATGGAGCAGAACAACGTGGCATGATCAAATAAATGCATTTCCCAATGAAAAGATTTTTTGGTTTCAGGAAGGGAATGAGAATTGAAATATTTTACCAGCCAAGAAGAGACACCAGGAAGCTCTGTTGCAGGTAACGACTGGCTACCGCCGCTTCCGAAAGCTACTCCTATTCTCACTTCTGGAGTGCAAACAAATGAATACAAAATGGCTCTCCCATCCAAGATTGGCCTAAAGAGAAGCTGCATCAAGAAGGCCAGGTAACCAACAAACCCTTTGAAATTGCTCAATACTTAACAGAGATTGTATACAAGTCAAGCAGATACATTTTAAGGGGTATAAGACAATTGAAGGAAAGAGGGATTAGGTAGCTACTTCACTTACATCACCCTTTATGTGAATGCTGTTGATAACAATCCGTGCAGTTCCAGTAAATGGCATGGCCAACTTGGCTTGCAACATGATACTTATTTCATTTGTGTCCCAATCAAAACTCAAACGCATGATTCTCTAAAAAAGCGTACACAAAGAATAATAAGTGCCTAGCTGTTGAGGCATTGGTTGACTGTTTGCAGAACAACAAAACTAACTCTATTGTTAAGGCAGCATGTGCTTCCATTTATGCATATGAACAAGCAAGTGGCCAAACATCAAGTGTTGTAATTAAAGCATATACATTAAACATTGGGAATTTTCCAATTTAATAGATGATGAGAGCAAAGGGAGAAGAAGAAACGGGTCTGAACATTTGGTCTATAGTAGGAAATGAATGTTCACCAAATAGGTTTCTTAGAAGGTAATATATTCTAGCTAAGGTCGTGAGATCCCACATTGGTTGGAGAAAGAAACAAAGCATTCCTTATAAGGGTGCGGAAACCTCTCCCTAGTAGAAGTGTTCTAAAAACTTCGAGGGGAAGTCCAAAAGAAAAAGTCCAAAGAAAATAATATTTGCTAGCGGTGTGCCAACAAGGACGCTGGCCGCCAAGGGTAGTGAAGTGTGAGATCTCACATCGGTTGAAGAGGAGAACAAAACATTCCTTATAAGGGTGTGAAAACATCTCCTTAACATAAGTGTTTTAAAACCATGAAACTGACGGCGATACGTAACGACTAAAGCGAATAATATTATCTACTAGCGGTGTAGTTTGTGCTATTACAAAGGTTGATGAAAGAAAACAAACCTGATTGCCAGA